GTGTAGGGAGGGAGGAAGGAAAGGGAGTAAGGGAGGGAGGGGGGAGGGAGGGGAGGGGAGGGATTGGGGGGAAGGGGTGGGGGGGGTACGGAGGAGGGATGTAAGGGTGGGAGGGAGAAAGGAAGGGGTGGAAGGGAGGGGGAAGGAAGGGGTGGAAGGGAGGGAGGAAGGAAGGGGTGGAAGGGAGGAGAGGAAGGAAGAAGGGGTGGAAGGGAGGAGAGGAAGGAAGGGGTGGGGGGAGGAGAGGGGGAGGGGGGTGGAGGGGAGGGAGAAGGAAGGGAGGGGAGGGGGTGGGGGAGGAAGGTAGGAAGAGGGTTTAAGGGGGGGGAGGAAGAGGGAAGGGAGGAGGGGGAGGGGGGAGGAAGGAAGGGGAAGGGGTGTATGGGAGGGGGGGGGGTGTAAGGGTGGGAGGGAGAAAGGAAGGGGTATAAGGGAGGGAGGAGGGGGTAGTAAGGGAGGGAGGAGAGGGTGGTAAGGGAGGGAGGGAAAGGGGTGTAAGGGAGGAAGGAAGGAGGGTTGAAAGGGAGGGAGGCAGGGAAAGGAAGAAAAGGAGGGGTAGGGGGGGGAGGAAGAAAGGGTGGTAAGTAAGGGAGGGAGGAAGGGGTTTAAGGGAGGGAAGAAAGGAAGGAGGGGGGGTGTAGCAAACTTGCTCATCAGAGTTGGACGGGAGTTCCTCTTTTTTATTAGAAGTATTCCTCAATCCTTTATTCTCCTTCCCCCTCCCTTCCTGAGAGGCACAGTGACAGGGTGGGCTGGTTATGGGTCAACAGCAGGTTAAGGCATCCTTAGTTCGGTGCCAAGCAGTCTGCGAAAGTGTAGCTTTCCTCACCTAAGTCATGATAAGGCCAGCGTTCCTCAGAGAATTGGGAAGCACTGACCCAAGAACCTGTGTAGGCTCACACATCATAAAACAGATAAGGCAGCTTCTCCCAGGAATTGAAAGAGATTGTAACCTCATAAAACCGAACAGTTAAAGGTGACAGAATGAAATGAACATTCCTCAAGTCAGGTTTTCCCCTATGTTTCATGTCATGGATTATGACAGATCTTGGTTCTAATTCAGAGTTCGCCCGACTGACCCCTCCCTAAACAGTGTATTGGTCAGTTACTCAGCGGCCATTCCCCCTGCTGGGGGACTTTTAAAAACTCAGGTAACAGGCCTAAAGAGTTAAGCAAAATGACATCTCCTAATTTTAACATCGTAACAGCAGGAGATCAAAGACCCTTTCCTCTGCAACTTGGATCTGCTACCTCAAGGCTAAACATGGCAAGTAACTTAACCTTTTAACTTCTCCCTGTTATCTCTTGGCTGTGATATGCTGTTTTTATATATAAAATATATATATCTAGTTACATTTTTCTTTGTAAAATATTTTATTGCACCTGTTTGACTCTTTTAGTAATAAATCTTTCTTTCTGAAAGTGTTAAACTGTTTCTAAGTGCTTACTTGCAATTCACAAATTCCTGCCTTTTGAAGAGACGCTACTGGGTTTGTTTAATCCTCTGCCCAATTGGCCTGCGGTGAGCGTATTTGGACAGGCGACTTTTCAACCATTACAGTGTATATTGGATAAAGAGAGTTTCCCCTTTCTCTGTACAAAAAAAGGGGTGGTGGCAGTGAAGGGTTAGTTGCGTAATTAACCCGACCCAGTAACAAGCGCATTCAGGCTGGGGGGTGGGGTCGATTGCATTCCATTAGCTGGACAATCGTTGCGCAGGTCGTGCGATTGTCGCATGTTGAGGGGGTGGCGAAGGGGACTGTGACAAGGGGTTTAAGGGAGGGAGGGAGGGAGGAAAGGAAGGAAGAGGTGTAAGGGATGGAGGGATGAAGGAAGGGGTGTATGGGAGGGAGGAGGTATAAGGTTGAGGGGAGAAAAGGAAGGTGTGTAAGGGAGGAAGGAAGGGAGGGAGGAAGGGGTGTAAGGGAGGAAGGAAGGGAGGGAGGAAGGGGTGTAAGGGAGGAAGGAAAGGGGTGGGGGAGGGAGGGAGGAAGGAAAGGGGTGGGGGGAGGGAGGGAGGAAGGGGTAAGGGAGGGAGGGGAAGGAGAAGGGGTGTAAGGGAGGGAAGAAGGAAGGAAGGGGTGTAAGGGAGGGAGGAAGGAATGAGGGGTGGAAGGGAGGGAGGAATGAGGGGTGGAAGGGAGGGAGGATGAGGGGTGGAAGGGAGGAATGAGGGGTGTAGGGGAGGGAGGAAGGGAGGAGAGGGTGTAAGTGGGGGGAGGAAGGAAGGGGTGTATGGGAGGGAGGGAGGGAGAAAGGGAGGGGGGGGGGGGAGGGGAGGGAGGGAGGGAGAAAGGGAGGGAGGGGGAGGGAGGGGGAAGGGGGGGAGGGAGGGAGGGAGGAAGGGAGGGAGGGAGGGAGGAAGGGGGGGGGAGGGAGGGGAGGGAGGAAGGGGGGGAGGAAGGGAGGGAGGGAGAAAGGAAGGGAGGGGAGGGGTAGGGGAAAGGGGGAAGGGAGGGAGAGAGAAAGGAAAGGGAGGGAGGGAGGGAGGGGGGAAGGGAGGGAGGGAGGGAGAGGAGAAAGGAAGGGAGGGAGGGAGAAGAGAGAGAAAAGGAAGGGAGGGAGGGAGGGAGGGAGAGAGAAAGGAAGGGAGGGAGGGAGGGAGAGAGGGAAGGGAGGGAGGGAGGGAGAGAGAAAAGGAGGGAGGGAGGGAGGGAGGGAGGGGAGGAGAAAGGGAGGGAGGGAGAGAGAAAGGAAGGGGAGGGAGGGAGAGAGAAAGGAAGGGAGGGAGAGGAAAGGAAGGGAGGGAGGAAGGGAGGGAGGGAGAAAGGGGAGGGAGGGAGGGAGGGAGAAAGGGTGGGAGGGAGGGAGGGAGAAAGGGGGAAGGGGGAGGGAGGGGAGGAAGGAAAGGGGTTTAAGGGGAGGGAGGGAGGAAAGGAAGGGGTGTAAAGGGAGGGAGGGAGGAAGTAGGAAAAGGGTAAGGGAGGGAGGGGAGAAAGGGGTAGTTGTAAGGGGGGGAGGGAGGAAAAGGGTGTAAGGGAGGGAGGAAAGGGTGTAAGGGTGGGGAGGGAGAAGGGGGGGGAGGAAGGAGGGGAGGGAGGGGAAGGGAGGGGAGGAGGGAGGGAGGGAGGAAGGAGGGGTGGGTGGAAGGACGGGATGGTGGAAAAAAGAGGGGTGGAGGGAAGGGAGAGAGAAAGTGATGGAAAGGAGGGAGGGAGAGAGAGGGGTGGAAGGGAGAGAGGGAGGGAGAAAGTGGTGGAAGGGAGAGAGGGAGGGAGGGAGAGGTGGAAGGGAGAGAGGGGTGGAAGGGAGAAAGGAAGGAAGTAAGGGAAGGACGGAGAAAGAAAGGGACGGAGGGTTGAGTGGAAGGGAGGGAGGAGGAAGGGAGGGATATAGTATCAGATCAACACTATGTTGATAATTATGGCTGTCATAGTCTATTATTTTGTTTTAAAACTATCATATAAATAGAAGGGGAACCTCCACACTGCTTTGCTCATAGCAGTTAATCTCTTGTGTAAGGTTAATAAAACTGGAGAAGGATCAGATATAATCAATCATCTGCAAAATGGTGGCTTGAACCGCATATAACAATAATTTTTCAGAAACCAAAGTTGTATCATCCTGGATAGTGATTTACAAACCATGAAATGATGAGTATGATCCCTTTCCATCAAGTTCATATCACCACTTAACAATAAATGCAGTAGATGACATAAACCAAAAACTGAGGATCTCTCAAAGTGAACTTTGGAGATGAGTCCCGTAGGTAATTTCTGGACCTCTAACGGATTAAATACTACATTGAAGAAGTCACTCCCTACTATAATTTTTGAACTGTAAAGGATGTGAATAGATTTTGTTTACTATAAATTCAAAAAAGTCAGTATCATTGTCACTGGGGCTGTACTTGCTATACATGATAACAGAGTTGGTAATAGTCACATCTTATAGTTTCATTTAATAGTCACGTTTGCCCATCTCCCCTCTAAATTATCACATAGGGGCTATATTAAAGTGGAAGTAAAGTCTATTTATTATGTTTTACCTACAAGTAAGCTTTAAAAAAGGCTTACCTGTAGGTACTGTAAATATCTCCTAACATGCACTATTTAAGAGATATTTACTTTGTAGCGCCGGCGATTTCATCAGCGCATGCGCACTGAGCTCTCATTGTGAGAGCTGGTGCTGAGACTCCCGCACGCATGCATGGAAGTTACTTCATTATTATACAGTATTTATAAAGCGCCAACAGTTCGCTCAGCGCTTCGAAATGGCTGGGGCCCGCGAACCTAGAAGGAAGACCAGGTGAAAATAGAAGCATGTGCACCGCGCTTTCAATGGACGGTGTGCTGTCCATTGAGAGCCATGCCATGGCCGAGACATCATCAGCAGCTTAGCCAATCAAACTGGGTAAGGCAAACCCGGAAGACCGGGTGAAGATGGAAGCCTCGGGGAGCTGTGACAGCCCTATGCTGGAGGGCTTCGTTTTTAGGTGAGTCTTTCATAATGTGCTAGTATGCGATGCATACTAGCACATTAAAATATTACGTGTAGTGGGTGTTTTGGGTTGTGGGTTGGTGCTTCCACTTACCTTCACATTAAAATATTACCTTCCACTTACTGGCCTTCTACAAGATTTTTTTAATTTTAGTTTTTGCGGTTTACTACCGCTTTAAAGCAACCCTGTCAGGTTAAAAACAGCCACAAAGCTGTCTGCACCACCAAATGCCATGCCATTAAAAGAAAAATCTTCCTCTGAAGTCTGCTGAGAAACCAACACTTCTGAGGAGACAGAGGTCCTTGGCTGCAGGCAGCTCATTCTTCAGGAGCTGTGTAATACAGAGAGTTAGGACTTTAATTATTACAGCCACTCCTCCTATTCCTCTTCACAGACATGTTGCTCTGCAGTAAAAAGTATATACACTGCCTAAAACATTTTTATACCCTGAAGACCTTTTTTTCCCCTACAACTCACTAGTGTCTTAATAGTCGTGATCCTTTCGGGGGAAACATTTGCTAATAAAATTATAAATACATTTAACAGAACTGGAAAATACCTGTGATTTCTCAACAGAAGCATTGTGCTTGTCACACATGGGACTAATTTCCATTCCTTTTTCCCGTTCTCTGTCACCTTGATGGAAGAATTCAACAATGATCCGATCTGTCCACTGACGATATAGCTCTAAAGGTTTGGTAGGATTGCTGAGGTCTGCACAGTGGACCATGTTCTGAAGTACCTACACAAAAACAAAGGGGGTATTTCAGATCTCCTGTCTTTTACAGCCATTAAAAAGTATGCAAGAAAATGTCTAAATAGCTATATATTTAAAGAGCAACTCCACTTTCTTAAAAAATAGAGAAAATAAAAAAAATAATATACCTATAGAAATGCTACACAAGCCATATTGTAATTGAATGCAAGGCCCCTTTTCCGATGGTGCAGACAGTGTCCCGATCAGTTGGGGATCCGCTCACAGGCCCTCCAGCTAATGAAGGAAGGCTACGGATAACAGCTACCATACATCTAGCCTGACACGCTACTTTTAATACCGTTTGCTAGTTAGAAATTAGGTCCATGACAGGAATCCAATATCTTTTGCTTTCCATTTTTTTTAAATATTTATACATCTGCATTTTTTTTATTACCTGTATACGATCAGAGTAATTATCCAGTAACAGGACACCCAAACTAGTCACTTTCTTTGTTTCCACCATAGTCTTCAGGTCAGCCAATAAATTCATGTGTTTAGACATATCTGTAGCCAATACCTACAAAAGAAGGACATTTTACTCAGAGCCAAGCAATTAAAGAGAGAACCACTTACTGGCCTTCTACAAGATTTTTAATATTCAGAATCAAATTATAACTGTGCAGGCTTCCGTACTAGACATTTTGTGCCTGCAGCTTTAAGATTTACATTGTGTTGAGCTAGACCTTGCAGATTAAAGCTGAACACAAGTCAAAATGTTTTTCCCGTGACAGTTTTTTCTTTTAAGAGATTTCCATTGTACTACAGTTCTGGTGACAATATTAACATGTTAACCTTTCCCCTCACATTACTGTACACATTACAGTATGTATATTACTCTTACAGCTCTGTACATTGATGCTGTTATATATCTTCAGATGAAGAGAATGTGCAAATACTTTACTTCAATAAGTAAGCCTGTACAATTATAATAATTGAGAAAAACAGAATTTAACCCTGCTGATCACAGCCATTCACCTAAAATGTGCCCCCCATTTCTGCCCTCTTCTGCCATCCTTCCACATCCCTACCGCACTGCATTTTTCTAAAATATCCCCCAACACACACCTCTATCGCACCTATCCCCACAGCACCGATTCTCCCCCCCACTGATCCCCCATGGCTCCCATGCAATTTCTGGCTTCTTCTCATCTCCCCTCCCGCTGGCTTCAGGTGCTGCAGGGGAACCACAGGAGTTAAAATATCTAACCACATCTCTTCTCCCCCCAGCTATGACCCTCCAAGCAGTGCACTCCCCTCACTGATCCCCAGTGCCCCCTTCCTGCAGTGCTGCTGCTGGTGGAAAATGTCAGGATGGAGAATGGTGTGGGGGTAGGGGCAAGGATAGGTAAACATGTGTTTACCAGAACACTTGCTTTCCTGAATGAACACAGTGAGCAGTACCGATCCTTCCTGTGATCATTCACCACTGAACCATAGTAAACTCTGTTTACAATGCTTCAATTAGTGAATTAATGCAGCTGCTGAGAAAGTCTTCAGTCCCTTTTTCTGTCTCAAAAGAGACATTAGGGTGTCTGTTTAGACTCCCAATATCTCTCAAAACCACCCCCCTGCCAAAAAATATGTAAAATATAAAATTGTACTTGCTAGAAATAAAATTGTAAACACACACACACACACACTAAAAAGGGAAAAAAAAACCCAAACATAGTAAGGCCTTATTACGGGGCGTACTACAGCAAGGCCGTGTTTGGCTGCACAGGGATGCACAGGTATTCCATGCATCCCTGTTCAGGTAGTCCCATTCATGTCAATTGGGATGCAGCGGCTGCATATACACAGCCTCTGTTCCCAACCTGGCAACCATGTGCATGTCCTGAACTCACACTGTCAGCAATGTGGGTGTAGTTGAATGGCCCCAAATGCAATCAGATGGGGAGCAGTGGCTCTGTCCTTGCAGCCTCGGTGTTCAAATTAACATGAATTATGCTGCCTGCACAGCGATGCACAGAACACCTGTGCATCCCCGTGCAGGTAAACACAGCTCTCTATGGGAGTACACATTAGTACGCCCCTTGTGAAGAAGGCCTTAGTAAGAATGTAGCAGGAATTTCGTTTTGGAAATTATGCTGTGTTTATCTGTGCTAATAAGGATTTTTGTAATTTTTTTTTTCTTTTTAAATGGTGATTTAATAAACATTTTCACAACTATTGTGGGGCCTCCAGATTTTTAGAGAAAGTTGGTTATTTACAGTTTTGTGTGTACTGTCCGTTTTCACTATTTTGCAAAAAAACACAATTTAAAATGTACAAAAATGTGTTATTTATTAACTAAATACAGAATGTGTTTTTATATTTAGTAGGAATTTAGCAGGAATTGTGTAAAATGTGCTGTGTTTGTATCTGCTAATAATGATTTTAGTCTATTTTTAGTGAAAATATTGTTTGGATAAACATTTCTGCAAATATCACAGGGCCTTAAAAATCAGTTGCACCTTCTTTTTATTCCAACGGTCATAAAATAGTCTGGCCACATGAGTTTAAAAGTTGAGCACAGGACCTGGCAGTGAAAGGGTTAAGGTATAAATACAATAAAATTCCTTGAATGACTATATTTTATTTAGTTTTTGCTGACAGATTGTCCAGACAAAGTGGAGAACTAAGGATAAAGAACTTTTACAGTTAATAAAAAAAAACATCCCTCCGGCTGTACGTACGTGTGGCAGCGAGCTCCTGCTCCCCTGGCCCCAATCCGCTGCCATCTGACGGGGGCCCCACGACTCTCCGGTCCCTGCTCGTCAGCCAGGGAGGCCACTGGACCTTTTTCCCAGAGCTCCGGGACTTGCGGCCTACCCCGCACCCGAAGCCATGGCCTCGATTTTTGCCGCGGCCGACCCGGATCGCCAGACATCGACCCGGACTGCCGCCGCTCCGTTCCCCGGTCCCCGCCGATCTGCCAGCCTCCTCAGGGCCCTCCCCACCAGCCCTGGGTCCATCCCTGACCACCAGGAACCAGCTCTGGCCCACTGTGGATCGCTGCTCCACCACCCAGCCCGTTGGTCTGCCTGTCTCCCCAGAGCCCTCCCCATCGGCTCTGGGTCCACCTCAGGCCACCCTGCACCCAGCTACCGGCATCCTACCACCACCCCCCAGACACCCTGCACCCAGCTACCACCTCTGGACACCCAGCCACCAGGCACCCAGCTACCTGCACCCGGCACCTAGGGGCTGCCTCAGACCACCCAGCACCCTGCATCAGCCGACACCCAGCCTTCGGACCAGGGACCTCTCCAGGCCACCCAGCGAACTGAGACATTGCCACACCTCCGCCACCCGCACCGAGAGGATAAGCCCCCACCACCACCGAGAGGGTCAGCCTCCTGCAAGCCACTACGGGACCCCAGGCTACTATCCCACCGGGGACCGCAAGCCCACCATCCCACCTGGGACCGCCACTATCCCTCCGGGGATCGCAAGCCCACCATCCCACCAGGGACTCAAACAGGGGCACCCACTACCCACCAGGGACTCCTAACCACCAAGGACCCTAGGCTACTATCCCACCTGGGATCGCAAGCCCACTATCCCACCTGGGACCGCCACTATCCCTCTGGGGATCGCAAGCCCACCATCCCACCAGGGACTCAAACAGGGGCACCCACTACTCACCAGGGACTGCAAACCACCAAGGACCCTAGGCTACTATCCCACCTGGGATCGCAAGCCCACCAGTGACCACCAGCCCACCACACCCGCCCTCCGGCGCGCTGTCCCTCGGGTGAAACTCCGACGACTCAAACACCTCCCGTCGCCGGGCCTTCATCACCTCCCGAAGCTGTGCACTCAACGGCTCCCGACGCTGGGCCTCCAGCACCCCTGACGCCGGGCCTTCAACACCTCCAATCACCGCGTCCCACGGCTCGCCCAGCTGCCGCACCACTGTTTCCACCGACGCTGTGCCACAACACCCGCAGACGCCGGCCTACAGAACCCACAGACTGCAACCAGCCAGCTGCGGCCCCAGCCCCCCACCACTCCCTCTCCCCTCCTACGTTTGGACACTGATGAACGCCGTCATGGCATAACGGACTCTCCCCATCCTCACGTCCTGACTGAAACCTCCCTCCTCTCCGACCCGATCAGCATTCTGCCCACCCTAGCATGCCACCTGCACTCCTCCTCCTCGTTCTCTCCTCCATCCCCAAACTTGCCTCACTCTACCCCCTACTCCCCAAAACACAGCTCTACATCGCACCCTCACTTCTTCCCTCCCCCCCTCTACGGCTCTCACCACCTCGTCCTAATACTCCTCTCCCCCGACCCGACCCACATGCCACCACCAACAGACCCACGCGCTCCTGCACCTCCCGTTCCCATGCCACTTTCCTCACCCTCCTCCTGCTCCTAACCGCCGATGACATCTCCCCGAACCCTGGCCCTCCTTCTCCCCACTCTCCCTCCCGGCACCCCCCTACTCACGCCAACCACCGCAACCCCTCAATCTCATATCTGTCCCCCTCCTCCCCACATCCACCCCTCCCCTCTCGGTTGCACTTCTGAACGCCCGTTCGGTTTGCAACAAGCTCACCGCCATCCACGACCTCTTTGTCTCCCACTCCCTCAACCTCCTAGCGGTCACCAAAACCTGGATCCAAGCCACTGACTCCACCTTCCCTGCTGCCCCTCTCCTATGGAGGCCTCGTCTGGACCCATTCACCCAGACCGAGCGGACACAGAGGCGGAGGGTTCGGTATGCTCCTACCACCGCTGAGCACCTTCCAGGTCCTCCCTAACCCCCCTTCCTATCCTTCTCTCCTTCGAGGCCCACTGCATCCGGCTCTTCTCTCCCACCCCCCTAAGGATTGCGGTAATCTATCGGCCTCCTGGTTCCGCATCCCCCTTCCTAGATGACTTTGCCGCCTGGCTTCCCTTCTTCCTCTCCTCCGAGCTACCGACCATCATCCTAGGCGACTTCAATATCCCGATCCAACGCCAACAGCCTGGCTACTTCCCAACTCCTCCTTCTAACCTCCTCCTTCGTGCTCTCACAGCACACTCAGTCCTCCTCCCCCACTCCAACGGAAACACCCTGGACCTCGTCTTCTCCCACCTCTGCACCCCCCACAACTTCACTAACACCCCCTTCCCCCTCTCTGACCACCACCTCCTCACATTCTCTCATCTCCCCCTCCCTCAACCCCCCCCCCCCCCCCCCGAAGCGTCTAACCATCACCCGCAACCTCCGCAATCTGAACCCGACCCATCTCCACCCAGCAGCTGACCGTCTGTATGACAGTATCCTCCCTCTGTCATGCCCTGACCTGACCATTACTGCATACAATGACTCACTGTCAGCTGCCCTTGACTGCCTGGCACCCCTAACCACAAGTAGCATTAGACCCCGACCACTTCAACCCTGGCAAAACGACCACACGAAATGCTCAAACGATGTAGTCACGCACTGGAGCACTTATGGCGCAAAACCAGATCCCCTTGCGCGTTCTCCCTCTATAAAGCCACCTACCTCGCCTATACCACCTCCCTCCACGCCGCCAAGCAAGCCTATTTCATAACCCTTATCAACACCCTCTCCACCTGTCCTCGTCGGCTCTTCTCCACTTTCAAATCCCTGCTCTCCCCCACCCAGCACTTCACTCACCGCCCACGAGATTGCCAATCACTTCCAAAACAAGATTGACGCAATCCGTAAGGACACTGTCAACTCACAATCCACCTCTCCACCCAGCATCCCGCCCTCCTTTAACCCTCGATCGTCCCCTCCCCCAACCTCATAGCCGCAATACCCCCCACTATACCTAATGCCCCGCGCACCATCGCCCTCCCCAACACTCCGCTCCTTCAGCCCAACTACCCCCAAGGAGGTCGCTAAGGTCTTCACTGTAGCCCGCCTCACCACCTGCCCCCTGGACCCTATCCCCTCACAGCTCCTCCAATCACCACCCCCCCCTCCATCATTCGCTCCCTCACCCACATCTTCAATCTCTCCCTCTCCACTGGCACCTTCCCCTCCCCTCTAAAGCACGCACACATCACCCCCATACTCAAAAAACCCTCCCTTGACCCCACTAACCTTAACAACCTTAGACCCATCTCCTTGTTGCCCTTCACTTCCAAGCTCCTTAAGTGCCTGGCCTACAATCGCCTAAGCGCCCACCTCACTGATAACAACCTCCTTGACCCCCTACAGTCTGGCTTCCGTCCCCTGCACTCCACCAAAACCACCCTACTTAAAATCACCAACGACCTGCTAACCACCAAAGCCAATGGCCACTATTCTATCCTCCTGCTCCTCGACCTCTCCGCGGCCTTCGACACTGTTGACCACCCTCTCCTCCTTGCCAAACTGCACTCCCTTGGCATCAAGGACGCTGCTCTCTCTTGGTTCTCCTCCTACCTTTCCCAACGCTCCTTCAGCGTCACCTACAACACTGCCACCTCCCCCTCCCTCCCCCTCTCTGTTGGGGTCTCTCCAAGGCTCTGTCCTCGGGCCCCTCCTCTTCTCCATCTATACCTCCTCCCTTGGCAAACTTATTCACTCCCACGGCTTTAACTACCACCTCTATGCCGACGAAACCCAAATTAACCTCTCCACCCCCCACCTCACCCCCTCATTCTCTGCCCGCATCGCCCACCTCCTAAACGACATATCAGACTGGATGTCGCTCCACTTCCTCAAACTGAACTATTCAAAACCGAGCTCCTGGTCTTCCCCCACCCGTGCCCCCCCCATCTTCTCCATCACTACTAACAACGCCACCATCTCTCCCACCCCACACGCCAAAGTCCTGGGTGTCACCCTGGACTCCCACCTCTCCTTCCTACCCCACATCCAACTGTTATCTAGATCTTGCAGGCTCCACCTCCGCAACATCTCCAAGATACGCACATTCCTCACCCCAGACACTACCAAACAACTCGTACACACTCCCTCATCATCTCACGCCTGGACTATTGCAATTCCCTTCTCACTGGCCTACCCAAATGAATGCTATCCCCACTCCAGCGGCTAGACTCATCCACCTCACCAACCGCTCCACATCTGCCTCCCCCCTCTGCCAATCCCTTCATTGGTTCCCAATTGCCCAACGCATCAAATTCAAACTGCTAACTCTGACCTACAAAGCCATTCACAATGCCGCCCCAATCTACATAACTGACCTGATACCCAAATACTACCCTACCTGTGCCCTCCGCTCCTCACAGGACCTCCTACTCTCTAGCTCCCTGGTCTCCTCCTCCCACGCTCGATTACAGGACTTCTCCAGGACTTCCCCCATCCTCTGGAACTCCCTACCCCAATACATCAGACTGTCGCCTACCCTCCTCACCTTCAGGCGCAACCTGAAAACCCTCCTCTTCAGGGAAGCCTACCCCAACCTCACCTAACAACTGACCTCACCTAACAACTAACCTCCTCCACTCCTCCCGCCACTCCATCCCCCACAGCCATCTCCTCCTGTGCCACCTTCCCCTCCCTCCTAGATTGTAAGCTCGAAAGAGCAGGGCCCTCGAACCCCTCGTGTATTGTATTGTTACTGTCTTGTCTCATGTTCTGTCTCCCCTGCTACTGTACAGCGCTGAGCATACCCATTGTCGCTATACAAATGCTGTATAAGAATAATAAATTTTTCATGCCATCGCTACCATCCGTTTTAGGACCCATTCCTACTCATGGATGTAGCTATTAGTGAGTAGATGCAGGAGACGCAGGGTTTCTGGCGATTAGCTGCAAACAGAAGCCTCATTGAAATCAATGGGAGGAACTACATTGCAACACCAACACACACTAAGGGCTAGCTCACATCAGCAGATATGTATTCTAGTGCACACAAAGTTCACGTGCACTAATATTCGTTGTGCGCAAGCACTGCAGTTTATTGTTACAAAGCATTATACAGTAGTGCTTGATTTTTTTTTTACAATTTCTTTAAATTACATTCATTAGTCTCTATGTGCGGCAGTGCATCATGACTCGTTTCAATGCATTGTAATGCATTTAAGTATGCCTAAATAAATTTATCAGAATGCACAGCAATGCAGCACACACATGGCACTGCGATTGGGTTCGCCTAATGCATAGGTGAAAGCCGACCTCCAGGTTGCTTATTTAAAGTTTTGCATACCTTTTGATTTTCAGTTTAACAAAAAAGGCACAAATTTAAACTTTATAAGTATTTGTTATTTATGAACTCAATACAGTTTTAACTCTTAGATTTAGTATGACTTTTGTAAGTTATTTTGTGTTTGTGTCTGCAAAAAATGATCTAAGTGTATTTTTTGCAAAAATATCATTTTGATATTAAATTATTCTTATCAAATATTTGAGCAACTATCATGAGACCTTAAAAAAAAATCAGTAGCACCTTCTTTTTTTTATTCTACTGGTTCGTTGTTTTCAAAAATGTATAGCTTGGGGGTTCTTTTACAAACTCTGAATACTGTAATGGAAAAATTGCAAAAATGGTCTGGCTGCCTGAGTTGAAAAGGGGAGTGCAGTGCCTGGTAGCATTAAAGGAAACCCTGACTTTAGCCTTCTTCATAAACTGCCCTTCAAGTGCTTGCTTGCATCCTCAGACCACCCTGAGATCTTCAAAATATAGGGTGCTGTATTATAGAAAAAGGAGATTTCATAGTGATATGCTAGCCTGTCTACTTCTGCCACCTGTGCCTTACCAGCTTCAATGGCTAACAAGATGGTGTGTAAGGAGAGTCAGAACATAGCCACAGGTTTAAGAAGTGCCTGTACTATCAACCAGAAATCACTTTCAAGTAGGTCATACCACTGAAATGTTTTATATATTTAAAATCATTCTGAACCTTGAGTTCTTTACCAATGGAATGCTGTTGAACTAAAACTAAAAGACCCAAAACCTGAAATGAACTATAAGCATCTGCTATTAGCTGTGTAGTGGCAATCAAAGTTCAGATGGCAAGAAAAGTCTGGACTTATAAATTGCCATGTCCCTTTTGAAAGCACAGATTTACCAAAAATGGACATTTTCAAGTGCATTATTTTGGGCTGAGAGACATTTTCGACCTTTTCATTTACATATATCTGCATCAATCTACTTTCCACTTAGCAAACGCACCTCCCACCTTTTTTGAAAAGCAACATTTCATTACTCTAATTATTTACTGCAATAGTAGAAAGAGAGCAGAGCTATTCAGAAAGTACAGTATATCCTTAATTTAAACAGCATAGATGCAACATTGGGACAGTAGGTCGCTCTACATATAGCTTTGTTACAAAACATTGTCGCAACAAATCAATCTGTGAGGAACATTTAAAAAAAAAAAAAAAACAAAAGCAAAAAGAAAAATAAACCTTTGGCACGCCTTAGCAAAACATCCAGGTGACCTTGTTTTGCTCAGGACAGGGCAATTGGTCTTACCTTGCTGGTAAATGTTAATGGATAGCACCTGTTTTTTTTTATTATCAAAGGAAAACTGGTCCAAAATAGTAGTACAAAATATCACATAACATTTTTTTTTAATTTAGCTGTATATTTCTGCTGTTACCATGACCCACCACAAAGAAAACCCCCCCATAATAAATTCTACTACTCCTGAAATTCACCCCAATCCCATATATGGAGGAGAGTCTGATAAGTCACAGGTTTCTCTTCCCCATTCACAGATTATGTTACATGCACTGTAACCAATGCACAGGATTTTCTCAATAGAGGATGGAGTGAGGAGGGGGAGGATCCATATCAGATCTTTTTCTCTCTCACAGGCTCGGAGCTATTATTTCCCTCAGTGTTGAAGTTCAGCAGCAGGAAGAGGACCTGTCATCACAGAAGATTTCTACAGAATCCGGCTTCCTGACAGACACTGTGTATACTGCACTACGTGTGACGTGACTACAGCTATAGGAGCAAAACTGTTTTTTTTTTTTTTTTTACTAAACTTGAGCTTTACTAAGCAGATAAAAGGATGCATAGCAAAAGATGACTACTGTGTAATGAGAATATTGAACACATAACCTGTCCAACACATGCCAACAATATCAAGCAGAGATTTAAAAAAGGTACAAATATAAATTATTTAAAAAAACATACCATGTCAATAACCATTTTACGTAAAGTCTGGCGCTGCTTCTTAGTCAGGTTTTGAAAAATGTCACAGTTTTCTTCTTGAAGAAGCTTAAATCCTACTGCCAAGTGGTGATTTTCTAAAACTGAGGCATCATTATACATCAATGCCAACTCTGAGTCTGAAGAAGAAGACAAAACAAAAGTAGACATAAAAAAAAAGGAAAAGAAGATATATGAACAAGAATACAGAAAGAAAAGAGGGTGCTTTTTGGTGGATTTTTAGATACATTTTAAAAATGTACACACAAACACATGCTGGAAGGTTAATTGGTTCCTGTCTAAATTATCCCGAGTATGTGTATGTATGAATGTGAGTTAGGGACCTTAGATTGTACGCCCCTTGAGGGTTAGGGACTGATGTGAATGTACAATATATATGTAAAGTGCTGCGTAAATTGACGGCGCTTAACAAGTACATTAAATAAATAAATAAATAACTGTTAAATACACAGGCTGTGGTTGTTGTGCTCTACCTCATCCCAAAAGATGCATGCTCTGTATGCAAAATCCAGACTCTACTATAAGCATGTCGCAGCAGAAAACAAGATTCATCAGGTAACAATTTTCCTAAGTTAAAACAGATTCAATTAGGTGTCCCCACTGTAGCCATATTTTCTGTAACATGACAGGACTGAAAGGTGGCACAGTTTCTATTGCAGTAGCACATTAAAGATCAGTGTGCCCAAAAATACTGAAGAAACTGCAATCACTAACAGGTCAATTGGCTTAGATCATCCATCCCTTCCAAATTTAACATTTGGTTGTAACTCTTGACCATTTCTGTATGTTTTAGCCCAGGGGTGGGCAAACTTTTTGACTTGAGGGCCGCAATGGGTTCATATATTGGACCCGGGGGCCGGACTAGCTGCTGGCCGGCCCAGCCACTACCATGCCATCAATAGTAAGTATAGTAATATTCCCCCATAGTAATTAATCCCCCATATAGTAATTCATCCCCCATAGTAATTCATCCCCCATATAGTAATTCATCCCCCATAGTAATTCATCCCCCATATAGTAATTCATCCCCCCTATAGTAATTCATCCCCCCTATAGTAATTCATCCCCCATATAGTAATTCATCCCCCCTATAGTAATTCATCCCCCCTATAGTAATTCATCCCCCCTATAGGAATTCATCCCCCCTATAGGAATTCATCCCCCATATAGGATTCATCCCCCATAGTAATTCATCCCCCCTATAGTAATTCATTCCCCATATTGTGTCAATTCATTTACCTTTGCTCCGCGCGTTCCTCTCGCCGTGTTCCCGCGCTGTTCCGGTCTTCAGGGCGGACTGTGAGAGGAGAGGAGTTCGTCACGCTGCCCCGCCTACATCCTGTCAGCCAATGTTTGCCACGCTCCGCGGGCCAGATTAAAAGGTCCGCCGGCCGTAGTTTGCCCATTGCTGTTTTAGCCACTTGCCCTCCACAGGATTTACTCCACTTCCTGACCAGCCATTTTTTGAGATACAGTGCTGCATTACTTTACCTAACAATTGTGCGGTCATGCAACGCTGTACATAAATGAAATTTATGTCCCTTTTTCTCACAAATAGAGCTTTTTCGGTGGTATTTGATCACCTGTGCATTTTTTATTTTTTGCGCTATAAACAAAAAAAGCCCGACAATTTTGAAAAAGAAATTAAACATTTTGGGGACTTTTTGCTATAAAAAACATGTACAGTACAAAAAAAAAATGTAAAAAAAAAAATCAAATGTCTTCATAAATTTAGGCCAAAATGTTTTCTGCTACGTCTTTGCTAAAAAAAAAAAAATTACAATATATGTAAATTAATTGGTTTACATGAAAGTTATAGCATCTACAAAATGGCGGTATATATACACTGGAATTTTTATTAACTTATTTTTTACTGCGGTGGGCATTCTGACACTGGGTGGGAACTGACTAACTGCCACTGACATCCCCAGTGAAACCAATACAGTTATTAGTGCTACTAAAATGCACTGTCACTGTACTAATGACACTGGCCAGGAAAGGGTTAACATCTGGGGTGATCAAAGGGTTAACAGTGTGCTGTGTGTGTTTTTTACTATGTAGACAAGCAAAGCAGCCTGTTCGTGCTGACAGGGGGAGAGATCTGTGTTGTTTATACAAAGACCTCTCCTCTGTCAGCTCCGCCAACGATCACCGAGTCCCGGCCAAGAACCGGCGACCAGGACCCGGTGACTGACATGCCAAGGAGCCAATAATGGCAAGGGTAGGAAGCGTGAACTTCCTACCCGGAAATGCAAATCATATATATATATATATATATATATATATATATATACACGTGATTTTTGCACATCCCTGCCGTCCTGTAGCAGTACTTCTGCTATAGGGCGGTCGGGAAGTGGTTAAAGCTGAACTCCAGGCAGATATGATAGACACAAATTAACGCAGCTCCATAATAATTATTTGTCATTACAGTTTTTTTTTTATAATTGAAAACATTTAAGCACCTGAATTTGACCTGGAATCAGCCTCTTGTATCAAGGAGGAAGGAATGGAGAGAAGGGATTGTATGGGGGTCAGGGAGGAGCCAAATAATGGTCCTACATGGACAACATGGATTATACGGATTCAGCTCACATCATAAGACAGTAGGTCTACACTTCATAGCATTTAGCATGTCTATTGTATATATTTGTCATCACCATTCTTTTCAAAAACTGCATTTTATCTACTCGTTCTTGTATGGAAGGAGGTGTAGTGAATTTCTAGTGTCTAGGGATAACGGATATAGCAGCTATTAAGATCCAAAACAAGCCCTTATTGGTGGAAGCTAGGGTACCAGGAAGAACAGATTGAAGAGCAAGTTGAGGCATCTGTTGTGTCTTACTAGATGGCATATGATCAAAAGCATCAGAGATTGAAGACCAGAAAAGGGGTGAGGTATGGGCACCAAATATATAGCAATATCTGATTGGGTGTAACGTCATCTCCTTCAGGCATCAGGAACTTGGTCCTGTGACCTGTGAGGGTAGGGGTACTACCTAGTATTTTAAAGTTCCTTTGCCAAGTTTGACTAGGTATGGTATCTCTTGTGTTTAAATAAAATACTTAGCACTGTCAGCTTCCAATAAACTACATCCCTCTCCTCACCCATTCAGTTAAATAGTATGTTGTATCAGGGGTCACTTACATTAGTAGCAAAGTATAAAGCATGGAAACTGGATGTGCTGGCCCCTCTGCACCATATATTTAATCATCCAAGGGGATATTAGTTTGTATTTTGTTATCTTTGGCTAGAGTTTTGATTTTTACCGTATTTTTCGCTCCATAAGACGCACTTTGTTCCCCCCAAAAAAGGGGGGAAAATGTCAGTCCGTCTTACGGAGCGAATATGGAGTGGCTGGTCCAGCATTTCCACCGCCGCCGTGTCAGAATACCGGGCCGGCCGCTCAGCTCTTCTCTGCAGCAGAACCTTACCTGTTCCTTGGTCCAGCACTGAGCAGTCTTCCCGCGCGCCGGCTTCTTTAGTGTGGGCTCTCGGCTGTGACAGCCGGGTGCCCAGTGCGCGTACACGAGAATCGCTGAACTTTGTGAATGGTACGGCATCTTCTGGGACACGACATATCCCAGAAGACGCTGGACCAATCACAAAGCGTAGCACTTCTTGCACTTGCCCAATGGGCACCCGGCTATCAGCCGGGTGCCCACACTAAAGGGAGCACAACTCTGCGTAAGTGGGAGCGGGTACCTGTCAAATTCAGGTACCCACCCCCTCCCTCCCCAAAGGTCCGCAGTCTCTTGGTCATCCCCTTTACTGTGTCCGCAGTCTCTGGTCATCTCCTGTACTGTGTCCGCAGTCTCTGGTCATCTCCTGTACTGTGTTCGCAGTCTCTGGTCATCTCCTGTACTGTGTTCGCAGTCTCTGGTCATCTCCTGTAGTATGTCTGCAGTCTCTGGTCAACTCCTGTAGTATGTCTGCAGTCTCTGGTCAACTCCTGTAGTATGTCTGCAGTCTCTGGTCATCTTCTGTACTGTCTGCAGTCTCTGGTCATCTTCTGTACTGTCTGCAGTCTCTGGTCATCTCCTGTACTATGTCCGCAGTCTCTGGTCAACTCCTGTAGTATGTCTGCAGTCTCTGGTCATCTTCTGTACTGTCTGCAGTCTCTGGTCATCTCCTGTACTGTCTGCAGTCTCTGGTCATCTCCTGTACTATGTCCGCAGTCTCTGGTCATCTCCTGTAGTATGTCCGCAGTCTCTGGTCATCTCCTATACTGTGTCCGCAGCCTCTGGTCATCTCCTGTACTGTGTCCGCAGTCTCTGGTCATCTCCTGTACTGTGTCCGCAGTCTCTGGTCATCTCCTGTACTGTGTCCGCAGTCTCTGGTCATCTCCTGTACTGTGTCCGCAGTCTCTGGTCATCTCCTGTACTGTGTCCGCAGCCTCTGGTCATCTCCTGTACTGTGTGTCCGCAGCCTCTGGTCATCTCCTGTACTGTGTCCGCAGTCTCTGGTCATCTCCTGTACTGTGTCCGCAGTCTCTGGTAATCTCCTGTACTGTGTCTGCAGTCTCTGGTCATCTCCTGTACTATGTCTGCAGTCCATTGGTTCAGAATATTTTTTATCTTGTTTTCCGCCTCTAAAACCTAGGTGCGTCTTATGGTAAGGTGCGTCTTATGGAGTGAAAAATACGGTAGGTTTTTACTAAAGAAGTTTGGCTATTTCTGTAAGCAGTCAAGTGCATTTAAAAAGTGGTCAGTGAATGTATACATAAAGCATTTGCTGAATGCTAGGTCACAGAATTACAGTTTTGTTGGAAGCAGACACATTGATTTCTATGCACAGCTACCCCAATCAGCTTCCAGGTTTTATTGCCAAAGCTTAACTGAACAAGCTGATGTAATGCAGGCCATACATGGGTCGAACCCCAAACGATTTTTCGTCTGAAAATCAAAAACGTCCTTGACTCGGTAATCCAATGGCGCCATCAATGATTTTGAAAATTGGCCGACCAAGTCATAAAGTTTACCCCATATAACAGGCAAAATTTCTGTTCCTTCCAGATCACGACTCATGCGCATATTGTTTTCGGAAAAACGATTGTACGATTTGACCATTGAGTCAAATTTTCCAACATGCCCGATCATTGAAAAGGGGAGGAACCACGAAAATCGGCCAGTGCCATTGACCCAATAACAGCGAAAATCTTAGGTCCGATTTTCGGACGAAAAATCAGTCGAATTTCGACCCATGTATGGCCGGCATTAGAATCTGTTTGGCTACCATAGGCAAATGATTTTGCAATCTCCAGTTTTAGTAAATCAACCCCATTAATTCTAAAAGAATCAACTCTTTTTATGAGGCAATTGGCTCACCATAAAAAAAACAAACAAAAAACTTTAAATACTATGTTTATACTTGTAAACACACCAGTTTCACAATAGCAAGAAAGACTTTAAATGTGCCACTTACTGGTATTAATAAGAAACTGATTTGACACTCCTGGGTGATCTACATCATGAATGGCACTAGCAAAGATGGCAGCCATAATTTCCAGATCTGTGAATACAGCCTGCAGGAAGATATATAAAAGGGAAATGTATGTTCTAAAATGTTCACCATAACAAATTCAAGAATAAAGTTAGTCTTACATATTGAAATAATGGTGGTATGCTTTAACTATGTCTTTAGCTGCTTGCCTGGAGTTTATTTCCTGGACGGAAAAGGAATAATAGAAGTACTAAAATCCTTTGCTTTGACTCCTTCCAGTGCTGGTTACATGACCAAAAGCCTATGCATTTTCTCACGTGATCTCTTTTGATGGGCAGTATCAGAGTTCAGAATGTAATTCAGTATATATTTTATCATTTTCCCATCAATATAGTTATAAAGGTAACATCTGAGTATGTCTATATACATGCATCCAGAAAGTATTCACATCGCTTAACTTTTGCCACATTTTGTTATGTTACAGTCTTACTCAAAAATAGATTAAATTCATTTTTTTTTTCCTCGACATTCTACAAACAATACCCCATAATGACAACGTAAAAGAAGTTTGTTTTGAAATATTTTCAATTTACTAAAAATAAAAAAAACACATGTACATAAGTATTCACAGCCTTTGCTCAATACTTTGTTGAAGCACCTTTAGCACCAATTACAGCCTCAAGTCGTTTTGAGTATGATGCTACAAGCTTGGCACACCTATTTTTGAGCAATTTCTCCCATTCTTCTTTGCAGTACCTCTCAAGCTCCATCAGGTTGGATGGGGAGCGTTGGTGCACAGCCATTTTCAGATCTCTCCAGAGATGTTCAATTGGGTTCTAGTCTGAGCTCTGGCTGGGCCACTCCAGGACATTCACAGAGTTGGCCCGTAGCCACTCCTTTCTTATGTGGGCTGTGTGCTTAGGATCGTTGTCCTGTTGAAAGATGAACCGTCGCCCCAGTCTAAGGTCTAGAGCGCTCGGGAACAGGTTTTCATCAAGGATGTCTCTGTACATTAATGCATTCATCTTTTCTTCGATCCTGACTAGTCTCCCAGTTCCTGCCGCTGAAAAAGATCCCCACAGCATGATGCTGCCACCACCATGCTTCACTGTAGGGATGGTATTGGCCAGGTGGTGAGCGGTGCCTGGTTTCTTCCAAACAGGATGCTTGGCATTCAGGTCAAAGAGTTCAATCTTTGTTTTATCAGACCAGAGAGTTTTGTTTCTCATGGTCCCTCAGGTGCCTTTTGGCAAACTCCAGACGGGCTGCCATTTGCCTTTTATTGAGGAGTGGCTTCCGTCTGGCCACTCTACCATACAGGCCTGGTTGGTGGAGTGCTGCAGAGATGGTTGTTCTTCTGGAAGGTTCTCCTCTCTCCACAGAGAAACGCTGGAGCTCTTTCAGAGTGACCATCGGGGTGGCTTCGTTATCTCCCTGGCTAAATCCCTTCTCCCTTGATCGCTCATTTTGGCCAGGCAGCCGGCTCCAGGAAGATTCCTGGTGGTTCCATACTTCTTTCATTTATAGGGGATGGACAATCCCAATAAACCGAGGCCACTGTGCTCATTGGGACCTTCAATGCTGCAGAAATATTTCTGTACCCTTCCCCAGAACTGTGCCTTGATACAATCCTGTCTCGGAGGTCTACAGACAATTCCTTGAACTTCATGGTTTGGTTTTGCTCTGACATGCACTTTTAACTGTGGGACCTTATATAGACAGGTTTATGCCTTTCCTAATCATGTCCAATCAACTGAATTTCCCACAGGTGGACTCCAATCAAGTTCTGGAAACATCTCAAGAATGATCAGTGGGAACAGGATGCACCAGAGCTCAATTTTGAGTGTCATGACAAAGGCTGTGAATACTTGTGTACATGTGGTTTTTTGTTTTTTTTAATAAATTGCAAAGATTTCAAAACGACTTCTTTCACGTTGTCATTATGGGGTATTGTTTGTAGAGTGTTGAGGAAAAAAATTAATTTAATCCATTTAGGAAGAAGGCTATAACATAACAAAATGTGGTAAAAGTTAAGCGCTGTGAATGCTTTCTGGATGTACTGTATGTATATATATTTATGAAAAAGCCTAGTATCCCTCAGCAACAGTCACCAGTGCTTTGCTGAGCATCCCCTTTTTTGTGATTCCTCTCTCAATACAAATACTGATGGGCTTGTATGACATACTTGTATGTCTGTGGTGCAAGGCTGTAGTGTCAGGACACCAGGGGCTTTTTTAACAATTTCATTTAAGAAAACCTAAAAATAGTTTTTACACATAATTAGTGCTATGAATAGCGCACAAGATCCCAAGCTCTTCTTTTTAAGTTGGTTTCATCCTCACTGATTTATAAATACCATAGCCACATGTATTCATGCAGTACATTTTAGGTGAAGAAAAATTTAGCAGGCTTCAGCAGTGCATTCCCACATGGGAATTTTTTTTTTATAAGTTTTGTTAAAAAACACTGTTGTGAATGCATATATAGTTTTGTTGTTGGTTTTTACAAATGCATACAGGTTACCTACATATTGCTAAAAGTTAACTACTTTGCGTCTTTGGACATAGTCCAGAGAGTGAAGGATTTAGAACAAGCTCATGGCAGTAGCCGACACCCAGCTGTCATGTAAAAGTGATCAGTTTTAGCCCAAGTTTACACTATGCAGCACGGGACACCACATGTAATTTGCACAGGAAACCTTACCGCATTTCTGTGCGAATTACATGAAATTGTCTGTGCAATGTGATTTGACCATACACTTTGTATCACTCAAATCGCATTGCATCCACACCAAAAAGATGCAGGACCCTTCTTTAAATCTGTACCTGAATCGCATTGCATGGGTGTTCTCACCCATGGGATGCGATTTCTGGCACTTGTATTGCATTTTGCGATTGGTTTTGGGGTGTAATTTATCACTGACACCCGCAGCAGATGCAATTGCAATGTGATGTTGGAAACGCACAGGATTTGCAGCGTTTCCTGCACTGCATTAGTGTGAATCAAGTCTTTCAGTGCCAGCAATGTGGCACCACCCCACGCCTGTGACTGTACTGACTCCGCCTCATGAAACTCCTCTTCTCAGAAGGCAGGCTCTGTCACATGTGTGACACAGCAGTTCCTGCTCACAGCGCATAGCAAGTACATGTCACAGAATTCAAGGAAGTGAATGTGTGGAGGATCTTAAAGTAATACTTCACGATCATTCAGATTAATAGGAGTAAGATAGAAATAACTGAAAATCAGCAAATATATGATATATATAAGATACGCTTTAAAACCAAAATTATGATTATTATTATTTTTTTTAGAAGAGTAGGAGAGGGTTAAAATCACTCTTTTATATCATCTGTTTCTCCGTAGGAAGATTTCCCTCCACTTCCTGTCCTGTAGACCAGTGTTATCTCAACCTTTAAAAAAAAAAAAGAAGTCAGCAATGGCAGATCCTATATTTCTATCCTGACAAGTTCTATTTCATTTAAAATTTAATAAAAAAAAGTGCAAGTTCTTAAATAGCACAATGTCATTTGATGCCCTCTCCTGTAGTTTTGCACTGCTACCATTAGGCGGTACTAAAAAGTGTTGCAATTTTCAGGACACCTTCCGTTTATTTTAGTATGATTTCTAAATTGGTATTGAAATGAGCCATACACAAAATGCAACCAGCTTCTAAAGACAAAACATCTGCTGATTTAGGTTTACTGATCTTTTTAGTGAAAACTGATTTATTGGTCAAAAATGCAAGCATGGAAGAAGCATACAACATACTTAGTGTAACAGTAACTGGGTAACTTTTTGCAACAGAACCTCATTTTCCAACATGTGGAGAGCAGAGTGTTTACAGTCACTAACACTCTTGCCTAACAGAATGGTCAGAATACTCAGAGACAAGGGTAGGTAAACTGGCAAAAATGCACTAGCCAATCCCCTTATCTTTGCATGTGAGTACACTGCCTTCTCCCTATGTTAGTATGCAGGAATGCCAGTCATATAAAGGCCAGGCAACTGAAAGAAGGGTTTCTTTACTGTATGATAAATATAGAATATTCACAAAACTAAAAAACACTGACCTCCAGAGCAGGAGTGGACAGAAGAACATGGGTTGACTGTGCCACATCTGCTGCATGGATATTGTTATGGTAAGCAACATCTGAGTGGTAATGATCCTCCAGTGTCATCATGTATGTAATGAAAGTATCTGCAGGAATTCTGAAGGTCTTCAAAAGATCTCTTTCCTGAGAGGCAAACAGACAGTTAACACGTTTTTTTTAAATTTCTCATAAAGTGCTCTTGAAAATTGGACAAGTGTTGACCATGAAGGCATATACAGTAATACCTCGGTTTACAAATTTAATTCATTCTGCAGGACTTTTCTTATAGCAAAAAAAATTGGTAAACCAAAAACACCGTTTCCCATAAGAATGCATTAAAAACCAATTAATCCGTTCTGGATATCAGAAAAAAGTAAACGCTACTAAAATACCGCATAAGTTATTTTATCAAGTCATGCAGTATTTTAGTAGTGACAACCATGTGTTTATGTTTCAGCTGTCAGCGGGGATCCCTTCTGACAGCTGAATGTAAAAGGATTGCCGGCAATTGCAAAAAAAAATTATTTAAAAAACAGCGTGGGGTCCCCCCTCCCATCCATACCAAGCCCTTTCGGGTCTAGTATGGATTTTGAGGGGAACTCCCATGCCAAAATGTAAAAAAAAGAAAATGGCGTGGGAGTCCCCCCCAAAATCCATACCAGATCCTTATCCGAGCATGCATCCCAGCAGGTCAGAAAAAGTGGGGGGGCAAGCGTGTGTGTGTGTGTGTCTAAATTCTCCTGGGAATTGACAAATATAAAAGTCTTGGAAGGTGGATAATGGAATCTGTTACTGCTATTTATGCTAAAAAAAAATTGTTTCAGTTCTTGCAGAGTCAGACGACTTATGGCACTTACAGAAGGAGTGAGAATTTGTCTGAATGCCTATCAAACCAAGATATGACAACACCAGCTATGTGTATCGGAACATTATGATCGTAGTAAATGGAGCTGAATTTGGGAAAAAATGTCTGCACCATAGGGTGCACATGGTTAAGTCAATATTTGTACATAGTCACTGGCAGTGACTCTACCTTTCAAAGTAATGATGGGGCCTGCAGAATACCAAGATATGGCTGCCCAAACCATGACTGCACTGCCACCACCATGCTTTACCATTGGCCAAAGGCAGTCCTGGTCAAAAGCTTGGGATGGTGTTTGCCAAACATAAACATGTCTGGTGGTTGGGAACAGTATGAAGCTCGATTCATTGGACCATATTACAGTCTTTCATTGGTTGATAGTCCATGATTTATGGGTGTTGCACCACTGTCTCCTCTTCTGAGCATTAATATCAGTCACTAGATGATTGGCAATTGCAGCTCGCATGTGAATGATTGGCTTGTGGAGTTCCCTCCGCACAGTTTTTGTGGACATGGGCTTTGGAAGACTGAAATTGAGCTCTGAAGTCACTTTTGCAGCAGTTGTTTTCTTATGCTGGGTCACAATCCTGTGCCATGTCCTTTTGTCTCTTTCGGTAAATTGACCATTGACCATGTGACCATGCTTATGCTTACCAGACGACACTTTCCCTGAAACTGTATATGCCGTCATAATCTTTGATACTGTGCCTGGCAACACAGCAAATAAACTGGCAACTTCAGCCACAGAGGCACCAGCTAAGCGGCAACAACAATCTGCCCTCTTTGAAGCTCAGTAAGCTCTGACATGACTGTATTAATAGCAGCGCATGCAGCGAATGACAAAAGTGAAGCTTCCCACCTGGTAGCTAGGTGTCTCATCACACAGAGCAAGCAAAAGTGCGTTACATCACTTCTGCTTTCAACATGAAACATGTCGTCATATTCACACCTGCAAATCATGTAGTGTTTCCATATTTTTGTCCAACCCCTGTGTACATGTCTCTGTACAATAAGATTAGATTCAAAAAGTACTAAAAAGTAGTATAAAACAGTTTTCACATAGAACTATAGGTAAAACTTTTTTCGTTTTGAATAGAGCAAGTAAAAAGGTTGTAACTCCTGTCAGATTTTTTATCACCATCAGTGTCCCATTGTGGATATTTCCTTTCACTTCCTGTTTCATAGCCAATCAGGAAGTGAGAAGAAATCCCTGCAAATTACCAACATAACAAGTGTCCCCATTAGAATATTTGCCCTCCATTACTTTTCTGGTGATAACCCCCCTTTTACTTAATGGTAAACAGAATAAACAAGGTGATTCTCCTTAACGGAGGCACACACAACAATAAAAACTGACAGGTGTTCTAGTCCTTCCCCACTATGCCCAAAACTAAAAAAAAAAAAAAAAAAACAACTTTTGTCTTTAGTTATACTTTAATTATACGGTTAAGGTCAATGGTACTAGTTTAATATCCTCACCTGGAAAATTCCATACATGATGACTGTTAAAGGCCTGTTTCCAGAATATTCAGCTACCTTAAATATATCAAGACCCCATTTATTAGCATCTTCTATTTCCTGTAACACAAGAATCAATGAGATTTATACATAATTTCAGTCTTAAAATGAATAATGATAATACAGTTTAACAGCAATGTAACATTTCATGGTACACTGGTATTCTGGTCCTGTTAGTTCCTGGCATGAAGTCATGCCACTGGAAATGTGAAAAACATGCAACAAAAAAAGTCCATGATCTCTAATCAATCTCCAAGCTAACCTGAACACAACCTGATCTCCAGGTTATCGTGCAGTTTAAAAACAGGTACATCTCAAGAAATTAAAATATCATCAAAAAGTTAATTTATTTCAGTAATTCAATTCAAAAAGTGAAACTCCTATATCCTATATTATATAGATTAATTACACACAGAGTGATATCTTTTCAAGCATTTATTTCTTTTAATTTTGATGAGTATGGCTTACAGCTAGTGAAAACACAATATTCAGTATCTCAGAAAATTAGAATTTTACCTAAGACCAAAAAAAAAAAAAAAAGGATTTTTAATACAGAAAAGTAGCTTACTGAAAGTTATGTCCATGTGCAGTATAGTATGCACTCAATACTTGGTTTTGGCTCCTTTTGCATGAATTACTGCATCAATGCCGCGTGGCACGGAGGCGATCAACCTGTGGCACTGCTGAAGTGTTATGGAAGCCCATGTTGCTTTGATAGCAGCCTTCAGCTCATCTGCATTGTTGGATCTGGTGTCTCTCATCTTCATCTTGATAATACCCCACAGATTTCTCTATGGGTCTAGGTCAGGCGGGTTTGCTGGCCAATCAAGCACAGTAATACCATGATCATTAAACCAGGTATTGGTACTTTTGTGGGCAGGTGCCAAGTCCTGCTGGAAAATTAAATCGGCACCTCCATAAAGCAGGTCAGCAGAGGGAAGCATGAAGTGCTCTAGAATTTTCTGGTGGAGAGCTGCGCAGACTTTGGACTTGATAAAACACAGTGCACCAACACCAGCAAATGACATGGCTCCCTAAATCATCACTGACAGTGGAAACTTCACACTGGACCTCATGCAACTTGGATTCTGTGCCTCTCCACTCTCCAGATTCTGGGACCCCGATTTCCAAATCAAATGCAAAATTTACTTTCATCCAAAAAGAGGACTTTGGACCTCTGAGCAACAGTCCAGTCCTTTTTCTCCTTAGCCAAGGTATGCAACAGCTATAGCCCATGTCCTGGATATGTCTGTGTGTTGTGGCTCTTGAAGCACTGACACCAGCAATAGTCCACTCCTTGTGAATCTCCCCCACATTCTTAAATGGCCTTTGCTTCACAATCCTCTCAAGACTGTTGTTATCCCTGTTGCTTGTTTCTACCATACTTTTTCCTTTCACTCAACGTTCCATTAATATGCTTAGATACAGCACTCTAAACAGCCAGCTTCTTTAGCAATGACCTTTGGTGTGACCTTGGGCCACACCAAACCCGACTTTGAAATTGTGCGACTTACAGTGAAGCCGCGCGATTTTAAAGTTGGATGACATGCTGATTTGAGGTGCGATCTGCAAGACATCTGACATCGCACCAAAAGTAGTGCATGCACTACTTTAGAAATTGGTGCGGCTTCGACCATGTCAGAACCACACGGATATGACCGCTGTAATTCTGGAGAATAGGGTGCGACTTGGCATGCGATTTCCAAGTTGCATGGCATAAAATTCGCATGCCAATTCGAATCCAGTGTGACCGGGGACTTATGCAGGCCATAGATGGGTCGAAAAATCGGCCGATTTTTCGGCCGAAAATAAAATCGGCCGATTTTTGGATCGTTAGTGGGCTAAATGGTCGGCCGTTTTTTTCGGTATTTTGGCCGATTTTTTTTATCGGTAAAGTTGGAAAAAAATTGGCCGATTTTGACGATCGGCCGATTTTCACGGCAATGATGGGCAAATCGGCCGATATTTTACCGATAAAAAAATCTGCGCATGAGCAGTGACCTGCAAGAGGAAGACAAAAAGAAGAAGAAAAAAGAAGACAAAAAGAAGAAGAGGATGAAGAAGAAGAAGAAGAGGATGAAGAAGAAGAGGATGAAGAAGAGGAGGATGAAGAAGAGAAGAGAAGATGAAGAAGAGGATGAAGAAGAGAAGAAGATGAAAGAAGAGGATGAAGAAGAGGATGAAGAAGAAGATGAAGAAGAGAAGAAGAGGATGAAGAAGAGAAGAAGAAGAAGAAGAAAGAAGAAGAAGAAGGATGAAGAAGAGAAGATGAAGAAAGAAGAAGATGAAGAAGAAGAAGAAGAAGATGAAGAAGAAGAAGAAGAAGAAGAGGATGAAGAAGAAGGATGAAGAAGAAGAAGAGAAGAGAAGAGGAATGAGAAGAAGAGAAGAAGAAGAAGAGATGAAGAAGATGAAGAAGAGAAGAAGAAGAAGAAGAGGATGAAGAAGAAGAAGAGGATGAAGAAGAGAAGAAAGAAGAGGATGAAGAAGGAAGAAGAAGAAGAAGAAGAAGAAGAAGATGAAGAGGATAAAGAAGAAGAAGAGGATAAAGAAGAAGAAAGGATGAGGAAGAAGAAGAAGAAGAAGAAGAGGAAGAAGAAGATGAGGATGAGGATGAAGAAGAAGAGGATGATGAAGAAGAAGAAGGATGAAGAAGAAGAAGAGGATGAAGAGGAAGAAAGATGAAGAATAAGAGGAGGATGAAGAAAGAAGAGGAGGATGAAGAATAAGAAGGATGAAGAAGAAAGAGGATGAAAAAGAAGAAGAGGATGAAAAAGAAGAAGAGGATGAAAAAGAAGAGGAAGAAGAGGATGAAAAAGAAGAAGGAAGAAGAGGATGAAAAAGAAGAAGAAGAAGAAGAAGAAGAAGAAAGGATGAAAAAGAAGAAGAGGAAGAAGAGGATGAAAAAGAAGAAGAGGAAGAAGAAGATGAAAAAGAAGAAGAGGAAGAAGAAGAGGATGAAAAAGAAGAAGAAGAGGATGAAAAAGAAGAAGAGGATGAAGAGGAAGGTGAGAAGAGGAAGATGAAGAAGATGAAGAAGAAGAAGAGGATGAAGAAGAAGAGGATGAAGAGGAATTCCAGTCCGGCAAAAAAGTGTCCCTGCAGAGAGCTCCGCTATTTCTTCTGACAGTTCCTTGACATTTATAGCGGTTGCAACAATGTATTTATTTGTTTCCGAATAAAAACATCTGTATCCTAAATGGATACAAATAGATACATTGTTGCAACCGCTATAAATGTCAAGGAACTGTCAGAAGAAATAGCGGAGCTCTCTGCAGGGACACTTTTTGCCGGCTGTAGACGGGATGAAAATCGGCCGATTTTTTTTTTTACCGTTGCTGGTAACGTCAGCCGCTTGAACGACCGATTTTTCATTTTTTTAAAGAAAAATCGGCCGATTTTTGACCCGTCTATGGCCGGCCTTACCCTCCTTGTGGAGGGTGTCAATGACTGTCTTCTGAACAACTGTCAAGTCGGCAGTCTTCCCCATGATTGTGTAACCTACTGATCCAGACTGAGAGACCAGTTAAAGGCTCAGGAAACCTTTACAGGTGTTTTGAGTTAATTAGCTGATTAGAGTGTGACACCAAGAACAATATTGAATTTTTTCACAATACAGGTGTACCTCGGTTTACAAACGCCTTGGTTAACATAATTTTTGGTTTATGAACGAAAATCTATTGAAAATTATGCCTCGGGGGTTTACGCAATACGAAGTGTATGTCGGTGCCGATTTTGAAATGCAATTGCCAGCTTTTTTTTTCTTCACTATAGCTCACAGTATTAACTGTCACTTTCCCTGGAGTTAAAGGAAACTTTGTTTCTTTTAAGAAACTAAAAGGAAACATTGTTTCTTTTAACTGGGGGAAATAAACTAAAAGAAAAACTTTTTTTCTTTTAGCTGGGGGGAAAGTGACAACTGAATCTCTGAGCTATAGTGAAGAAGAAAAAAAAAGCGGTAATTACATTTAAAAACCGGCACCATAATATATTAAAAAAAACCGCATGGAGTCCCCCCTCCCATCCATACCAAGCCCTTTGGGTCTGGTATGTACTTTGAGGGGAACTGTCAGGGACCATCGCGACGCATGGGTCTACACATGCGTAGGCGTCTGTCAAGACGTGCAGGTAGCAGGGCACTAGGACCCAGGCGCACCCGTCGTCTTGACAGTGCTAGGCAGGCACTGGGACCAAGGCGGCGCCTGTCAGGTGCAGGGCGGGCTACTTAACCAGCCCTGCACAGACGCTTGTTGCCGAATGGTCTTTTGTATCCTGTTGCCTGTGTTGTGAGTACTCTGATCTGGATTGTCTGACCTTGTTGCCTTCTCCTGTCCTGACCCCTTGGCTTGCCTGACTCTGCTCCTGGATGTTCTCTTATAGATCTGATCTTTTTGGTATTGACCCTGCATGTGACCCGACTATCCTTTGCCTATCGTCTTGTACCTCACCGACCCGCTAGTTACCGACCCGGCTTGTTTGACTCTGACTTTGCTCATCTGTCCATCCATCCCTCAGGGATCCCTGGGCTCCCTCACATCAGACTCTTAACCCGCTGGAGCCCTTGGCAGACTCCTCTACCTCTGGTAGAGATACCTAGCAGCTGCGACCTGGTCCCGGAGCGCTCCAAGTCCATCCCCACCATCAGGGGCCCTGGTGAACAAGTGCTCCGGTACTTAGACTCCGCACTCTGGGGAGGCTCTATCAGGGGACTGATAGAGGTACTGTCAGGCGGACCGTTACAGTACCATTCGGCCATGACTGAGTCTGGAGGGGGGCCTTCTCCCATAGAAGAGATTTGCCGACATTTGTCCGCCCTAACCCAGGCAGTAACTGCCCTCCAGGACAAATGCTCCCGGTTAGAAAATCGGTTTGACACCATGACAATGTCTCGTGTTCCCATGCCTGAACGTTTTTCGGGGAGAGCGTGCACGGTTTAGGTCCTTCAAAAACGCATGTCTGCTGTATTTTGACCTGCAACCTCGTACCTTCACCACTGAGTCCGTTAAAGTAGGATTCGTGATTTCCCTACTACAAGACGAACCCCAGGACTGGGCCCATAG